CTTGACCTCGCGGCTTTCTGTCTGATGCGTCAGTCGATGGAGGTGGATCTGCAAAGGCTTCGTTCAACGCCTGCATATCACGAGCACTGTACGTGCCTGTAGGGTCAAATTGCCTTGCCCTTACTTGCCCTGAGGAATCCGAGTGTTTGCGCTTGCCATGGGAGAAGTCTTCGTTACGTCCACCTAGACTCTTACAATACTTGTCCTCAAAGCCTGTGGAAAAGGTTTCATGCGATGCACTGCGGCAGCGAGTGTCTTCACTGGGCGCGATGGTTCGCTCTATCACTTTTCCTTTGTCATTTTCTAATTCATCAAAAGACCAGCATGAGGTACGGAGAGCCAAAATGTGGTGCTCGTGCATCTTGTTCGAATAGAAATGGTTCAGCTTCTCGTTGGTTGGGTGACTGGAGATGATAGCAAATCTCCTTGGGCTGACCCAGATCCACAGGTGTTCCTGAAAGCACTCCGATGCATAGAACGGCCAAATCCTCCGGCCTCCCATTTCCACAAAGTTGAAGCTAGTATAAACGTCGTCACAGTACCTAGAGTCTAAATGACAGAAGTCATGAGTCAGCTTGGTTGAGTTTGAACCTGGGAAACTACTGGGAATCTTGTTCATATCCTCGTCCATGATGATATTCCAACATTCACCATTGATGATCATACGATATTCATAGAAAGCCCAGTAGTGGAATTGCACCGTGATGTGCTGATATCTACCTTGATGGTGATACACCTTGATGCCATCGTATTCCCGCACAAATGACTCTTTGTATCCACGGAGTCGGAGCTCGGGGTCCGCTTCGGTATCATCTTCTTCCAACGCATTTTGGTCTTGTGCTGCTTCAGGCTGAGGACCCGCTCTTAATCTCCATGTGTCGCCTATCCATTGCGCCATGCCGGCACGATGGTCAGGGTGCCTATTGGAGAACAGTAGGAAGAGGGCGGAGGCAAGAATCGAAGGAAGCAAAGTAACAGGTCAATCTTCAGCAACAGGCACAGGGAGCACGATCAATTCACGGGATAGCAGGTCGTGGAGTTCGTTCAGGCCACCAATCGAAAGAGGGGGAAGATAGTGGGAGGCAGAGCACAGAGGAGGGGGGGAGGGGAGCAGAGGAAACGAAGGACAGAAGCGAGGGTACGCTCCTGACCAGTCTGCGGTCAGAAGCGTGGGAGCCCTCAAACGAACCAGATAAAAAAAAGACGCAACACAAGTTAATTTTGGGGGGGAGTTGGGTGCTTGAGCCAGCGAGTATAGCAGCATGCAGAGAACACAGTATTGATGAGCAATTCAAATACTGATAAATTCTGGCAAATGATTCGGCTATAACGTCTGTTGAGCGCATAGCTCTATTTTCCTGCGCAGCTCTGCACAATGCCAGGAGTCGGTGTTGTCTTCACTTCCACAATAACGTCAGACGACTGACAGAAGTTGGGCAAGGTCGGTGTAGCTCTGCTGGACGTAAACGGTCACCACATGGATGGTTGACCTACGTGAGGTTCCAATGCCCTCTAAGTCCAATTGAGTAAGCAGGTTCTCGTCAACATTGCTAATACCTACTTCGCTTTGGGTACAGTCGCAAGGCGCACGCTGCATTAAACCATTTGTTTGCAAGATATAGTCTCGGACACTGGCAGTTTCAAGCCGGACGACGGAAGGGGTGGCAGTGCATGCCATCCATGTTTCTGCGTCTGGCAACCTGAGTTTTAAATAAAGAAGCGTCAGGTTCTGCCCTATAATACTTGGCGAGGGGCGTTGGTCCAGGGGCACCGCTGCAATTTCGCCATCAATGACATCAAGGTGTTTCATTATAGGGTTGTGATCAAATGCTGCATAGTTCAACTGGTAACTGAAGAATTTAAACAGCTGGGGAAAGCAAAGAGCCTCTACATGACTGTTATTTGAGAAATCTGATGATATCACAATATGAATGGGTACATTAAGGGAGGAGCACCCACCTGACCAGTCTGCGGCCAGACAGGTGCACCTCTCAGCTATATATCCAGGTGAGTGTAAGGTGAGGTAAGTAGTGGCATGTTCATGTGGGGGAGATTGCCAGACGTGGGAGCGAATGCAGCCCTTGAGCAATATGGGCTAGGGCAGAGTTTTGGGTCTAGGCCATGACAGTCTCCTAGTTGTGTAGTAAGATCTGTGTACGTTTACATCGTGGCAACTTTGATGGTTAGAAAGCCTTGTGTTGTACTCTCGCTTAGGATTTTTACAGCAGGAATACATCCGGTGATAGCTGCTCTCTTGTGGAGTCGCGCCCAGCGGCATTGGGTGGGTCTTGAATTAAGATTTGGATGCGTATTAGTGGCTGAATTGCACGAACTATTTCGGTCAACAATGTGTCAAGTCTAACCGGTTGAACAGCAGTATCTATTCCTGCAGCTACTTCAGTCCAGATACTCAGGCCAGGTGGACGCACCATACCTATTAGCCTGAAAACTGTGTCTGCTAAGGTTGAGATCGGGAGTGGCAGTGCTGTTAGGTCTAGAAAGCCACCTAAATTAGCAGTGACTTGTACCGTATGGACCACGACTCGGAAAGGTCGGGCATCAAGCGGCACTGGAAGCGCCCCAGATTTATCTGTAATCCACCCTCGACTTGATGGTAATAGGTACAGTCGGTTGATCCACAGGCCTCTTGAGGCCGGGCAACTGAAGGCCGCAAGCTGCACCACGTCTTCGTGCGTCTCTTTTAATGCAGTCAGGATTTGTGTGGTGATTAGCTGTCCAACCCGTTCAACTTGCAGCAGGTCTCTGTCCAAAGTGCTGTACATCAATTGTAATCCAAAAGCTTCGTCCGGGAAGAAAGTAATGAGCCCACTCTGTACTAATTTAACCGTGCGCCGCAGGTCTCTGATTGTAACCATGAGATCCTGGGCAGCTTCCAAACCATAGAGTATCATTTTGGTCGATGATGGCACGGGGTGTCCTTGTCGCACAAACCGCGCGAAAGCCATGGGTCTTGACATCAATCGTGACTCAAATATTAGGGAGGTGAAGCCACTGCCATAAGGCTTATATGGTGCAAATGACGCCAGGAAAATGGTTGGATTATGGAGGAGTGGTGCACCCACCTGACCAGTCTGCGGCCAGACGGGAGATCCTCCAGAGAAATAGAAGCAGGGGGCCAGGGTACTGAGTATCACTACAATGCTTCTCAATAGGTGACAGAAACAAGAGATCGAAACAACAAAGAAATCCAGTTAGCTCTAAGTTAGGGGTAACCTTCCTAAATCGGTGCATTGCATGGGTCTGGCGTGATTAACTGGTCATTTTTTAAGCTGATGAGAGTAGGCTAACTACTCTTGAGCCAGCGCCTACGCAATCAGGTCGGTACTGTGCCTGCTAACTGCTTGTGAGTGTTGCGTGATCCATCTATGACCAAATGTCGATATTCATTCATTGTCAATTACACACCCCTTTGTTCTCTCAGCTCTGCATTTTGACCCTTGATATGGCATGTGACTCTCAACCTGGCTCCTTACCCACCGCCGAATTTCCTTACGGGTTCTACCAGCTCAATAGGCGCCTCAGCTACCTAGGACGTGGCTTCTCCGCTGAAGAGAGCCGCGTATGCCTCACTCAAAGCATGCCAGCTTTGTTGCACTCGATAGATGGCCTGGTTGGCCTCGTGCACCAAGTCATTATGTCGTCTCTGAAGGAGATGGATACCTTCGCTTAATTGATATGCTCTGTCTGCCTCTCCGGTGCTACTGGGAAACCGTCCTGCAATTGCATCCCGACAAGCCTGTGAACCACGAAAATCGAAACAAGGGCGGTCATCTTCATGAATGGCATTGTTTATTCTAGCATGATCAGTTAGTGCAATTCCTTCGGTGCGTGGTGCATACACCTCAATGCGGTTCCACAACATGTTGAATGAGCGCATTATTTCTGCAATGATGGCACACTGCTGCGGGCTTCGCGCAACGATTGCAAATCGCCGTGAGTTTGCCCAGCATGCATATCCATAGTGGCGAGCTTCCGCTGCGAATGGGTAGAAACCATGCCCAGCAACTTCTATCCAGGTCTGCAGGTACTCGTCATCTGTCTCATTGATGAGCACTTTGTGAAAACCATGAGGGAGATGGGAACGTACTACAACGTCTGACTCCTGTGGGAGCCAGGTGTCATCTTCTGCCCAGACAACGTTCCACTTCTCCCTATGAACCCAAACACATGCCTCCATAAGATTGAAGGGTGTGCATCCTATATTAACATTTCTGCAGTATCGATGCATTGGAAAGTTGCCTCTATGTAGGCACATCATTGTATTTGACTGGTCACTGTACCCTTTCCAATGATAGTTCTCAAGGTAGGTCAGCAAAGGTGACGCCATGGCTGACATGAGGCACGCACTGATGGTTGAACAGGTGCAATCCCGACCAGTCTGCGGCCGGAAAGGCACCGTGTCCAGAGGATAGAAACTTCATAATGTGGGCTGTATGTGATAATCAGCAAACCACTGTAATGGTGCAGGTACCGGAGGAAAGGGAGCCCAGGTAAGGGGATAGATTTTAGGTGTAGCAGGCATGTTAATGTTACTGACATGGATTGGATGGCCCAATGAGATGCATTGATTGACGAATCAACAATTTTGAGCCAGTTCTGGAGAGTACGAAACATAACCCAAAACAGGAATCTAAGGATTAAACTTCCAGTGAAGGCATACAATGGAGCTCGAATCAAACGCTCAGAAATTAGTTTGTTAGCAGGATCAGCTAACGGAAATCACAAAGCAGCATTAAAACACAAAAACAACACGTCACAGACAAATAGGAGTCCCCTTGCCTTTGGAGCATTCATCAATTTACTTGGTCATCAGCTGTAGCGAGCAACATTCATGGCCCCGAAACTGAACCAACTGAAATAACACCCGTGAATAAAGAATAGTCCCTATATCTGCCACTGTGACAATGCCGCTTATGGCTACCGCTACTTTGAATTCCCGTGGCGGTGAGAGCACCATGCATTCATTTGATCATTTTCTTCCGTCCACTTTCTTTCTCGTGCACCTGAGTGCACAGGAGTCTTCGCTCCTTGTTGTATGGCTTTAGCCCTACAGTTCAGAATCGAAGTTCGAGTCAAGCTCATTACATTCCTGAGGCTGCTTCATTATCATGAGATCTTTCTGAGCTTCTTCCACTTCAGCGGCCAGCTCTTTCTGATAGTTCATAACTGCATGTTCAAGCTGGGCAAGCTCTCGTTGCCTTTGCACGAGGTCTGTGACTATGTGTCCAGGGATCCACGGAAGTTGGCTAGCTGATTGGGCAGCCTGGTTGATCATAGCTGCAGCATTGTGAACAGTTTCACGCAGCATGCTACTGTGCGTATACTGGCTAATTGCCGTCGCCATTCGAATCAGTTTGGCTTCCTCCATGGCGCCAGAGTTCGCAGCACTGGTGGCTATGAGCTGAAACGTGTCTTTACTAGTGAGGAGCGAACAAAACTTAAGATCTTTAGGAGTTGCGGTACCTATTCTATAGCTTAGGAGGTGCAATAACACCAAGAGATGGGTTGGATGATGGCGGAGAGGTGCACCCACCAGACCAGTCTGCGGCCAGACGGGAGATCCTCTCCAGACGAGTATAGACAGGGGGCCAGAGTAAAGTGCATTTCTACTCAGTGTCTCAATTGGTGACCAAAATACTTGGACGAAGGAATGAACTCCATTCAGCACAAAGTTAATGGTAACTCTCCTTACTGATGTATTGTAGGCGTGACTACATGGTCATCCCTTAACAGCTGAGAGAGAGTAGGATAATTTCTCTTGAGCCAAAACCTGAACACCCCAAAGGTACTGTGCCTGCTGACTTGTTGCGAGTGTTGCTTAATCAACATAACTAGCACCGATAATGAGAATATATGGCTTCTGCTGCTTGCTGCATGCTGAGCACTGCCTCTGTTTTATCCTTGTGCTGGCTCGCAAGTCACAGCATACTTAAAAACCGGACCAGTTTGCGATTGCTAAAACATCACTTGGAGATAAGGTGGTGTTCGGCACTAGGTGGTAGAGCCGCACAGTTCGCAATCGTCTGTAGTTCTCATACTGGATTACCCGTGTGTTGCTGCAGTGACGGGTGATCCAGTGATGCAGTCCGCTAACATAAAGGTTTCCTGTTAGTCAGAGTGCCGGAACACATTCTCGCGAATGTCTCGTAGCTCTTCGTCAGTTTCCTGATTTACTTCCTGTGGGTACCTGACTGTGACAAGAAGCTCTCTCTGTGCGTCCTCGAGTTCCTGCATCAGCTGCACCTTGTAGTCAGCAATCATGTGCAACAGTGTTGCTTGCTCTCCACAGCTTTCCTCTAGCTTAAGCCGCATTGGCCTGGCCATCCAAGGAAGCTGGAGGGCTTGCTGTTTTGCTTTAAGCAAGATGTAATGAGCACTCTGCAGGTTCTCTAATAATGCGCAGCACGCCGTATGGTGCTGGGTGAACTTTTTGATGTGGGTGAGTCGCTCATCGTCCATGGCTGATCAGGGCCTGCTTACTTACGTCACTACCATACAGATCAGCGGGCTCTTCGCAAATTTAGCAATCGCTCTACTTCTGGTAGTGAAACCATCAATGTATCATCGCAAGTGCTGGTACCAGAAGACTAGAAGATTAGTCAATTAGTAGTCATGCTACCATTCTAGCATTCATGATTGCTGCACTTTCTCTGTTCTTCAAGGACTTTCATTTGTTTGAGACAAGATCTAGAAACCGCAAAGAAAACGCAAACAAACCAAAAAACAAAAAACAACTGAAACTTCAATCCTCCCACTTGACCATGTCTCGCTTCCGATCTCAGAACGCACTCCCTTTTCATCTGCTGGATGGTTTGTCCCACTGTTGGATCCAGTTTGGATTCGACCACACTTCAATCGAAACCATTCGACCAGATGGCATCAACAACCCATTCGGGTGAGATGACATCACCGATGCACGATTGTGCATTGTCATAGATGCAGTCACAATACTGAACGTGACATCACGTCACGCGGCTTTGAAGTGCAACGCACTGTCAAGAACCAGGAGCACAAAGGCTTCGTAGATGAAACAAACTTCGGAGCAGCAATAAGAGAAATAGGGTGAAACAGCGAGATCGAACCCTTGATGCAATATTGATAAAGAATTGAGAACAAGGTGAGGGAGGGAGGGAAACGAAAAATGTATACGCACAAATGAAAGTCCTTGAGCCAAAATGGAATAGAAACACAAAGAAGTTCCTTGCAAAACACAATGAACAAGTACATTAAACGTTCTTCAAGGACTTTCATTTGTTTGAGACAAGATCTAGAAACCGCAAAGAAAACGCAAACAAACCAAAAAACAAAAAACAACTGAAACTTCAATCCTCCCACTTGACCATGTCTCGCTTCCGATCTCAGAACGCACTCCCTTTTCATCTGCTGGATGGTTTGTCCCACTGTTGGATCCAGTTTGGATTCGACCACACTTCAATCGAAACCATTCGACCAGATGGCATCAACAACCCAAACAACAACTATCTGGTATAATGGTTATCGCCCAAGCACGCCCAAACTAGAAGTGAGAACCATTCCAGCAGATCACATCGCAAGAGGATGTGGGAGTTTCCAAAGGAGTTTTGAATCAGGAGGATGCAATGTTGGGTGAGGTGAACAACGAAATAGTTGATTGAGTGAAAGATGAATCCTTTCACTTGGTTGAAAATCATGTGGGATGGGAGTGGAAAAGTCCCATCGGCTCAGATCATCCGCTATGACATTGTCCGCGCCAGGAATATGGCTCACATCCAATTCAATACCCGTTGTCGAAGCCAGGCACGTGAGGATCTCGACAAAGAGACATAGAGGATGAGTCGTAGTGAATAATTTGTTGCTCACGCTCTCTGCTCCCGTATTGTCGCTCAGGGATTTCACACAAATAGGAATACGAAAACCGGGAAAAGATGTGGCCACCAGCCAAACTAAAGCAATTTGGGCTAAAGTTTCAAAAGAAGCAATGCTTCGTTGCATATTTGGGTCCAAATGAATTGACAAAATGTCAAAATCAGCATGGGAAAATTTCTCAGAAAACCAAAATTGGACTCCTGAAGGATGACGGATGAAACCTCCAATTTGACAATAGGAACCCGATGCACATGCATCGGCTGCCGCAACGCCATTCCAATATGGCTTCGCTCTCATTGGTCGAGACGGAGAAACACCCATCAGCCAATGTTCAAATAACTTCAAAATGCGAAGAGAATCAGGACGAAGCTTGCGTTTGGAGGAATTCGGATTGATAATCCGTAGCCAAATCCTGTTATCTGTTTTGATATGTAACGATGTCAGATCCGCCAATGAGGATACCGCTTGATGTCGAACAGCAATGAGCTTACCTGAAATAGGTATAGCGGAGCCCAAAGGTGCTGTATGAAAAGTCAAAGTAGGTGTTAAATATTGATGAATGCGAGGCCATGTACCAGCATCAATACTGAAATGTGTCGCCGGGATGGTGTAGAGGTCGTGGTACCAATAGTGGATCCAGATCCGCATAAGTGGAAATAATTGAGTAATCCACATTGCCAGGCCAATAAGTTTCTCCAAAGACTTACGAGTAGTTCGTGGCTGGGAAATAAGATGTTCGATGTATCCTCAGAGTTTGAGGATCTTTTCAATGGGGATTGTCACGATACCTGCATTGAAATTGAATTTCCAGCCAATATAGTCAATGGAAGAGTGCATGGCCGTCTTCTTCCAGCTGATAGGAATTTCCAAAAGCTGGCAGAAAATACACAACAATGTGGCTGACAGCGGCATCATGTTGGTTTCCATAAAGAATAAGAAGTCATCCACATATAGAAATCCAGCGTGACTCAACCAGATTAAGTGGTGAAAGATACGGAGAAGGAGGCCACCCAATCTCGCCCACCAAAAGGCAGAGAAAACTGCACCAAATGGGGTAACTCTATAGAAGAAAAGCTGTCCCTCTAGCGAAAAGCCCACCAATCCGCATTCGTCCGGATGAAGAACTATTCTTTTATGAGCAGCCTTAACGTCTAAAGAAAAGCCCATTAGATTCCTCTGACACTGACGTAGAGGGTAGCTACGTAACACCTCCTTGGCAGTCGGGAGAGTGGACCTCTCAGGTATGATACACCGACCGTTGAGGCCGCATACGCTGGAGTCTACAACTAATCGGGGGGCTCGACTATCCGAGCGAGCCACGCCCAATTTTCCAATAGCAACTCCGGCCGGATATTCTTGTTGTGCTTCTTCCAAAGAACCTTTATACGGAAACACCCAACCCTTGTCAATTTCTTCCTGAACCAGTTCTCGGGTGAGTGGTAGATCTTCTTCAGCGCTCTGCCAGTTGGAAAGGTGAGCTGACAATGGATCGGGTTCTATGTCCGTACGTTCTTGGGGTGGAAAAATACCCGACGGAGGAATCGCTGTGGAAAAACCAGTTCGAACACCTTCTAATAGACTGGGTAATAATGTAAAATCGACGTCATGCATAATCTTTTGGAAAGAATGTAAAATATGAAGATGTATTGGTTGATGTTGTCGAACTGACCAATCTGGTGTATGTCCATGTGCCTCCAAGAATTGCTCCAGATCAGCCTTGAATGGGGTCAGGATTTCCACCGAAAAAGGCGGTGACGGGTTGCCCGAAGCCACATGCGCAAGTAGGATCTTATCCAACCGCTCAGAGATGATCCTGTTCATCCACGAAGTACGCAGAGTCTTGAACCAGTCGTGTTCTTGACGATTATCCTGACTCCAGTCCGGGTAGGAAAAAGCTCCACCCCCATCGATTTGCGAAAATGGATACTCCGACAGTTGCTTGGTGGGCATGAGGGCATCCAAATATGACCATTGGAGGTCCAACCCTGATGTGTCCAGTAATGGGTCCACAAGGTTGGCAAACAATTGTGCCAGTTTCTGTGGGTATTGTGCCGTCGCCCTACTGGCAAAAGCACCAGAATCGTCTCGGAGACCTTGAAGACGAACATGAGAATTAGGGGGATGTTGACAAATGCAGCCTAATGGTCGAAGACCTGTAAAACTCGAGGCAAACATCCAGGCTTTGTAAATATCCATCTCATAGGCGCAAGCTGCCACGTTGATACAGGAAGCCCCAATCAATTGCAGAAATTGGCGTACTACCTTCTCTAACCATGACATGGCGTTCAAGGGTTGTTCAAGGTGGACGTGCCCGCCTGCTTGAAAAACCAGGGTGAGGACCTCAACGCAGCGAGAGAGCATCATAAAGCTCTCTTGGACACGTTGCAGTTCCCAGGGTGTGAGATTGGGCAGACCGGACAAGTGCTCTGGTGATCGTAGAGCCTTGGGACCGTCATCATCTCGAAGTTTGAGTCTGCTGTATTCACAGCAGGAAGGGCTCGCCGCTCCATAACCAACCTGACCA